TCATATATTTGGTTTATCATCAAGAATTCCATGAACTCCCTTCTGTACATGGCTCCTATAGCGGTTGTGTTTCTACTTCCTACAACACTAATTATAGAAGAAAACGTGATCGATATCACACTTTCCCTTACCTGAGATGATATCAAGATAAGTTGGTATCTCTTATTCAATTCGGCATTAGCATATTTTGTGAATTTGACCAACTTTTTGGTCATAAAACACACCAACATCTCACTTGTATTCCCATTGACTTTTGCTCAAGTGGTCTTGTAACATCATACAAAAGCTTTGAACACTATGCAAAGAGCTTCATTGATGAGAAATGTGGGCAAAACATATAGGAAAAGATAAATGTGTTGTCAAATATTTTGCGAACATCTGGGCCAAAACTACAGGAAAGGATGAATGTGTTGTCAAGTGTTTTACGAACCAATTATGGTGCTAAACCAATGTTGTGATCATATGGTTTCCATTTGTTGATCCAAGATAAAATCTATCTTCTTCAACCCCAAGGTTAGAAGTGAGATATGATGAAGATTTCTTTCCACAGAAGGTAAGTAGAAATTTTAACAACAAGAAACTAGTGGAGCCAACTAAGGTTGAACTACAGGTTATTGTTAAGCATCTCAACATGATATGGTCCAAGTTGCCTTATTCGAGATTTGAGTAGACGTGGAGACATGAAAGGAATTAGGATAAATTCTCCTTATGATGTGTTTTAAGAGTCAAATCAGAACAAGGATATCCTAATTAATTTCTACTGAGTTTGACATGTCTACAACCTCCAAAGATGATAGATTCTCTTTTCAAAGATGAAAACTTTATTGGATTTTTACACAAGTATAGACAAAGAAAGTTAGTTTTATCCACAATAAAATAGGGCAACAAGGTCATAATTCTGATTACGGAAAGAGTTCCATAAATGAAACATTTCTTCTGATACTTTCATGAGACAAAGAAGATACAAAGATACAAGTTGATCAAATGCTTATTCAGAAATATAGTATAGGTTGCTACACTAATATCCGAAGGTAACCCTGGAAATAAATGATCAAGTGAAGGAAGACCGAGTTCACCACTTTGAAGTCAAATGAAGATTGCATCAACCTTCATGCATTCATAAGAACATCATTTTCACAATAAATAATTCATTTCATCGATACATTTGATTGCATTCAAACATGAAGTTTTACAGATCTTCGTATGAAAAAGAAGATTCATGATACCTTACAAGAAGAAGGTAGAATTCAAAACCTAAAATACAGGAATTATGTAAACATCTGAAGAATAGATGGACGCAATCCACAGAAGAAGCATTATTTTAAAATGGGGCATGTTACCCAATCAACAAGTTATTTCAATGAGAAAATGATTTCCAAAGTTTCTCATTTAATCTTTTCTAAAAAAAAATTGTTGAATACTAAGAAAATGATTTCCAAAGTTTCTTACTTAGTAAACTATTTCCCACATCTGTAAGCCCTTCAGTGCATGATGTTTTCAAAACCTTCGGGTCATCTGTAAGCCCTTCAGTGCATGATGTTTTCAAAACCTTCGGGTCATCTGTAAGCCCTTCAGTGCATGATGTTTTCAAAACCTTCGGGTCATCTGTAAGCCCTTCAGTGCATGATGTTATCAAAAACTTCGGGTCATCTTAAACCCTTCAGTGCATGATGTTATCAAAACTTGCGGGTCATCTGTAAGCCCTACAGTGCATGATGTTTTCAAAACCTTCGGGTCATTCATAAGACCTCTGGACATAATGGTTTCAACATTTCCATCCTACTCAAAAGAAGGCAAATGAAAAAATTATTGTTTTTTTTTTGTCTTTGCTCTATTCTTGTTATCACAAGAATAAGCAAATAGGGGCAGCTGTAAACACTAATTTTTTTCATTTCATTTTATTATTATTATTAAAATTATTATTATTATTAATATTATATATTATACATATTATTATTATTATTATTTAATAAATAATTACAAGGCCAGATCCCTGAGGCCCATTTTAAAAGATCCCAGAGCCCAATTCAAGCCCAAGTGGAGACCAACCCGGATACAGAGGAAACCCTAGGGTTTTACACTTCTCAGCTCTAGCCGCCTCAGCTTACACCGTTGGATCTAGCCCTGATCTAACGGTCCTGATGCTTCCAGATGAAAACCCTAGGGTATGATACCCTAGGGCAACCACGCGGCGCCACCTCTGCCATATTCCACATCCAGTCGTTACCGACACTCCGATGACGCCACACAGATATTTCTCCGAAGATTCCCGAAGCCAGCTATCCCTCCACATTACAGCTCTATGGTGAGTCACCACCATAGTCCGGTGACTCACCAAAGAGCCCCCTTCGTGACCGGTCCGAGAGCAGTATCATGATGGCCTATAAAGGCCACTGATCCTGCGAAAGAGAAGAAACAACGACGGAGAAGACAGAAGAACCCGAGGAAAACAATAATACACAAAGCAAACAAAGATACGGGAACAACAACGTACAACCACGACAACAATAAGACAGCAAACCAAAGGAAAAAGAAAACAAAGAGAAGGAACTTACCCCAACCGTCGGACTCTCCATTTTTGAGAGTTGAATCACCGAAAATACGACCTCAGATCTAGGATGATCGGAGAGTTTTTAAGGTAAACAACTCTCGATTTCAGCTTTAGGGGAAGCTAAGCTTCGATTTAGGCTATTTTCCAAGTTCCAACGGTGGCTGGCGATGGCTATTGTCGGTGGCCGGCTCTCTCTCCGTTGAGAGAGTTTAGAGAGAGGCAAGATGATTCTCTCTTTAGAGAGAATCCAGAATGGAAAATGAGGATAATGACCCTTAGGGCCGGTTATAAAGGGGTTTATATACCCTATCCCAAACGATGTCATTTTGGGGAGGGATGCATGTGTAATTTCGGAAAGGGTTAACCCTTTCCGTAACCCTTATAGTTCTGTAATTTTCCAATTCAATCACTAAAAGCAATTACTGATTACTTCAATTTAGCCTTCTAATTTTATTTAAATTGTAATTTAGTCACTGCATATACTTATAAATATTTAAGATAAATAACCTATTTAGTCACTGCATATACTTATAAATATTTAAGATAAATAACCTATTTAGTCACTGCATATACTTATAAATATTTAAGATAAATAACCTATTTAGCCACTATTAATTTTAATAAATTTTATTTATATCTCGAAATTAATTAACATAGGTAAAATTACACTATTCATAATTAGTTTTCATAATATTTTGAACTAGAGCCTTTAATTTTAAATTGTTATAATTTAATCACTTATTTTAATAATTTTCATTGTTTTACCATAAGTTTTGTTTATTTTTAATTTTAATACTATAGTTTTAATTTTATTTATTTTACTCACTGTTTAGTTATATTTTAATCTTATATGTTTATTTTCAATATATTTAATTATTATTATTATTAAGTATTATTATTAGGTCATATAAATATATAATAAGTAATCTTTATTTATTTATTTTATTTTTATTAAATAAAAATCCTATTAATAAATTTAATTTTACATAAATTATTTTTAGGGAAAATAATCATATTTTAATATTTATTTATTTTTTAATATTAAGAAATGGGTTGTCTTAAAGCATGTAGAAGTCATTTTCTGATATTTCTAAGTAAATAAATATCTTATTTATATATATATATATATATATATATATAATATATTTTCTTAAAATTATATTAATAAATTTGAAGTAACATGATTATGAATTAAATATATTTTTGAATTTTTAAAATTTCCAATAATAGAAACAGTTTATAATTAATGAGTACCAATTTTGGGCGTTGTGGGGGTGCTAATCATTCCCCAAACGTAATCGACCACGAATCCCTTTTTATTATTAAAAAGAACGAATTTTTGGTTAAAACGCAGGCCAATTTATCTTTTAACTGACGTTTTCTTAAAAACTCTTTTAAAATATAATTTTTAGGTATTCGACCTACCTAACCCAAAAGGTTGATGACGACTCCCAAAATATTTTAAAAACCATTTATTCACATCACTTTTCCTGCCAAGTAAAAATTCGTACCCGAACGAAAACCGGTTACAACAATTATTAAAGTGAATGATGAAATTTGTGAACGGAAGTAAAGTAAAAAAGAAAGAAAGAGAGAGATCAATAAGGAAAATGACGAGATGAGGAAAAATTATATATAATGATATTTTTATAAAGGAGTGGGATAAAAATATCTTTAACATTCGATTAAATAGTTATTTTGATTTTTATTTTTTTAGAGTATTTTAGTTGTCAATATTTTATTTTGTGACAAAAAGATCCATTCGTCGATAAAAATTGTCAATTATCCAAAATAAAGATTTTTTTTAAAATGAAAAGTTAGAGATTATACTCCAAAAAACAATAATAACTAAAATAATTATTTAATCAAATATTAGAGAAAGTTTTAATAATATATCTTTTTATAAATATGATAAATAATAAAATTTAAAATTTTAACTAGATTGAGTTAAAAACAATTTTACCATAAATTCATATTTGCATCAACCCACACTTTATTCTTTTTTAAAATCTATTTCACTCACTCAATAAACTCAAATTTCAAAAAAAGAATATATTTTTATGAAATTAAATCGAAGCCCAATAGCGCCTCAAAGTAATTTTACCATCTTTAACAAGTTATACCCGCCAATTGTGCCTCTAAGTAAAAGCACGAAATCCATTATCTCTCCCATAATCAGCAGTAATTGGTCTCTCCTCGAAACACAGTAATACATTTAGAAACCTTCCCCCTCCACTGAATCCCCTTATAGGATAAAGTCCTAAGCAAAAGCCCAAACAAATTGCTAACTATTCTGTCCATGAACCACGTAGAAGTTATTGGAAATCATCTAGAATGATCTCTCAAGAAGAAAATGTCAAGATCGCGATATTGGAATTCTGGCGGCTCCCCAGAAAGGAAAACGAATCACAAACTATTTTCTTACTTGCTCCAAAAGAAACGAATTCAGAGAAAAAGTAATCGAAACCCAAAAGAAAGATCCATGTATATTTGAAGATTGAAAAAGAAGGTTGAAGAGTGAATGAAAAATGGTGCTGTGGGAAATCGCATTGGGAACGGCTTATTTCTTGGGACTTAAACGGGCCTACAAGCTTGCTTTGAAGATTCAGCGACGGATTATTAGCCCTAAACGTCCTAGGATTCGGCAATTTGCTCATAGGTAAAAGATTTCTTTCTTTTTTAGTAACTAAGTTCGTATTTATTGCACTATTTCTTTCGGTTCTTGATCGGTGTGGTTGCTTTGGATTTTTTTTTCTGTTGATTGATCTAATCTAATATCACTATGAAGGTTGTATTTTGAATGCTATTCAACTGAAATAGTATTATCTATCAATGGGGTTAAGGAATTGAAACGAATTCATGAACATGAATTTGTATTAGATTGTGATGAAGTGCCTCGATGAATCTTTCATTTCCCAAAGGATCCGATTGAAGTGTTTTTGGTATTTGGTGATTTATTTACTGGGGTTATGGATTAAGGTTACTTTAATGTCTTCAAAAAGAAATGCGGAAAATTAGGGTCTCGACTCTTGGCATATAAGAACTGATCATTCTTGTTAAACTAGGGTCTGTTCCCAGACGCAGAGAATTTTTATGGACCTATTTTTTTTTTATAGCCAAGATCATGCTTCTGGCTTGGGCGAGATTGATATTCATTGGATTTGCGCTAATGGTGCCGACATTTGAACCTATTTAGTGGCTTCATTAATTAAAGAGAGTGTTGTTGTACAAAATATTGGATAAAAGGATGAGTGAGAGAGAGAAAAACGTAGAGAGAGAGAAGTTTAAAGAAAAGTCAGTTTCCGATGGATCTGGACGGTGTTTATCGACAATCTTAGTGGGAGGGTGTCTCGACGTACTTTAAGGGAAATTTTCTTAGTCCATGATCCTGTTGAGAGAGTTTTCATTCCCAAAGAAACTATGAATCCAAAATACAAATTTTCAACCTTTGCTTTTGTTCAGTTTAAGAGTGAGACAGGTTTGAAGAGGCCAGTTGATGAATTAAATGGTGTAGTGATAGATGGGAGGAAGATTACAGTTGGTCTTGCAAGATACAAGGAAGCTCATTCAAGGATAGTGGGGAAGAATATTTCCTCAAAGAAGGTTTTCAGTCAGAATATAGCAGAAACATCAAAATCAAAAGAGGCAGAAGACTTAAACAAAAACATTAGGGATGATATAACTTATAAAGATGCTTTGATGTCAACAGAAGTGCAATGGGAAACAGGGCGTCTTCATCCGATGATCTTCACAAGGGGAAAATTAAGAAAAATATTTTAGTAATGCATATTCCCTCTGAAAGCTCAAGCTGGGTTAAAAGGTCATTAACGGGGATTATTAAACATACATTTCAGATTGAGATAGTTCAGAAGGCTTTACTTAATGATGGTTATGAAGTCCAAATTGCTAGATGGGGACATGTATGGAATTCTTGTGTTATAGTATTTAAATCATCCGAATAGATGCTGGATATATGGTTGAAGAAGAAAGAAGAATTAGAATTAAGGTTTGATCGATTGACACCATTATTGAATGAAGAGGGAGTCCCAATGGCCTTTTGTCTGGTGGAATTAATTGGGGGTCCCTCTGTTATCTTGGAACGATCCTTTCTTCGAACAAATAGCAGGGAGATGGGGAATAGTGGTTGACATACATGATGCCACTAGGAAAAAAAGACCTCACAAGGATGATAATTTTATTGAGGGTGGCAAGCTTTTTTGATGTTCCGGAGGTGATCACTCTTGGATCATATGGAAGATCATTTAAAGTGTGTATCAACGTTGGATCGGCTTGCGAGTCTTCAAGTTCTTTTTTCCATAATTCTCTAATGGAAGGTTCCGGTGGGGGACATTTTGGAAAGATGATGACTGTAGAGGAAGAAGACAAAGTGCTGTCAGAAAGTGGAAAAGATACAACATGTTCAGCAGAAGAAATTCGACAGAGAGTTGACAATTGGTTTGACAAAGGAGCTTTTCTTGGTTCTGGGGGAGTTGGTGGGGAACAACAACTTCCAAGACTTTCAATAGATATGAAAGGTATTAATTGTGGGTTATCAGAAAGTCAAAATATTGGGAGTATAAAAGTGGATGAGTTTGCATGGTTGGGATTTAGAAATTCAAATTTTTCATCTGATGGATCACATGCCCAATCAGAAGATGATGGGCATTCTTGGGCTTAATGTTTCAAAAATAATTCCAGTTGATCCAACAATTAAAATTGACAAGTTTGGGAGAATGATTCATAAGCAGAATTCAATTAAGTCTGGAAATAATAATAAAGAAGAAGGGAAGAGGTCAGATTTAGAGAAGTTTGATCAGGCTGGATTAGGGCTTCATGATTCGGAATTAATGTTGTTAGAGCCAAGGATAAATATTGCAGGAATTATTTCAAGGGGGAGAACTCTGTGCAGGAATAAAAGATAGTTGTCAACAAAATGTGAACCGTTAGAGAGAAGAAGAATGACCAACTTTAAAAGGGTTTATAAAAGGTCTAGGGACAGAAAATACTGGTTTGGGAGCGTTTTGAATTTAATGCCTGAAAGAGAGGATGAATTAATCATTAAGGAAGGGGAAGTTCAGACCACAAGAGCTATTCAACAAAGAGTGGATAGGGAGATTGATAGAGGGTTATCAATAGGAGAAAACACAAACTTCAATTCTGGTTTTGACATCTGAAGAGCTAAAAGACACCTGATAAGGGAAGCATTAGAACATGTGAGCATTTCAACAGTTTTCTCTTCAGCTTTTTCAAATTTATTGAAGGAAGCACTAGCTACTTGGGAAATAAGTAAGCTATTGGGGGTTTTATTTGAGCAAGGGAATGAGGTTTGTTTTGGAAAAAATTATCAGCTTGGAGAAAGGTTTGAATATGGTCAATCAAGGTGATCTTGATGGGGGTTTAGATTGATGTTTATTTAATGATGAAGATTCAGTTAATCATTGTTTCATGGAATGTTAGAGGCTTTGGTAGAAAAGAAAAGCAGAGGGCTGTTCAGAGGTTACTTGCTAAATATCATCATCAATTCTTTGGCTACAAGAAACTAAAATGGAGAAGATTCCAAGATCTTTTCTTAGAAGAAATGGGTTAAATAATTTTCAAGGTGTTATGAAATATCCATCGGTTGGTTCATCAGGGGGTTTACTGAGTTGTTGGGATGATAAAAATATCGAATTGGAAAATCAATATATTTGTAGAAGATTCATTGCTTTTTCAGGAAAATTTTGTGCCAATAATTTCAGTTGTAGATTCATCAATGTTTAGGGCCCTTCAGTGGAGGAGGATAAAATTAGTTTTTTTTTGAAGAGTTAAGTATGTTCATAGGTGGATAGAGTGATCCTATTTGAGTAGGTGAGGATTTTAATGTTTATCTACATGAAGAAGAGAAGGTTAGAAGAGCTTAAAATAGGAATTCAATGGGGATATTCAAACAATTTATGCTTCAAATAGGTTTAATTGATCTACCCTTGAATGGGGGTAGGTTTAATTGATCTACCCTTGAATGGGGTAGGTTGATGGTCAATTTCTGGCTGCCTTTCCTGATATTGTTCAATCACTACTGCCAAGGTATGTATCAGTTCATAATGCATTACTGTTGGAGAATGGAGGTGTCAATTGGGATAAAAAACCTTTTAAACTTTTTAATTATCTAATGAATGAAGTTGGTTTTGAGGATTTGGTCAGCTCTTCAATTCAAGTTTGTAGGAAATATTAGAGGAAAGATGGAATTTATAGTATTCTGATAAAAACCAAAACAACTATAAAAAATTGGGCAGGCAAGAGAGATCAGTTTCCAGGGGCTCGTATTTCAGATTTAGAAACGAAGATTCACAAGTTAGAAGTGGATATCCAATAGGTGCAGGATGGTTTTAACAGTGAAAAAACAGCAGAGTTATATTCATCAAGAACATAATTGTGGAGACTTTATAAGATAGAGGAGCATATTTGGTTCCAGAATTCCATATCGAAGTAGGTAGAAGATGGGGATCGAAATACCATATTTTCCCATAATTTTGCTTCAATTATGAGGAGGAGAAATGCTTTGAATGCTCTGAATATCAGGGGAAATGTTATCCAAGACCCGTCAGTTATTAAGGCTACTATCAGAGATCACTTCTTTAAATCTTTTAATGAACATTCGACATTGGAAGTGGAAGAATTAAGGTTGAATTTTCCCAGTATTTCACTGGAGCAGAGCCTGTGTTTAGAGAAGGAATTTACAGAGGAGAAAATATGGGAAACTTTAAAGTCTTGTGATAGTAATAAAGCTCCGGGACCGGATGGTTTAAATATGAGCTTTTTCAAAAGGTTTTGGCATGTCCTCAAGGAATATATTATGAAGTTCTTTCATAATTTCTACTTGGGAAAATATTGGGAACATAGTATTAATCATACCTTTATTACTCTCATTCCAAAGGGCTTTAATATTGGCGGTCTAGATGACTATATACCTATTAGCTTAGTTGGTGGATTGTATAAAATCCTCTCTAAGTGGCTTTCGAGGAAATTAAGGAGTTGTATATTAGACATTATTAGTCCAACACAATTTGCCTTCATCCCCGGTCAACAAATTTTAGACTGTTCTCTAATTGCTAATGAAGGAGTTGATTTTTGAAGGAAAAATGAACTTAAAGGGATGTGTTTTCAAGGTTGATTTTAAAAAAACTTAAGATTCTGTTGATTGGTCTACTTTGTTTAAAGTAATGGAGAAAATGGGATTTGGTTCCAGATGGAGTGGTTGGATTAGGAAGTGTGTAACCACAGCTTCTGTTTCGGTTCTAGTTAATGGAGTTCCTTCTGAGGAATTCTCAATGGCAAAAGGTTTTAGACAAGGCTATTCTTTATCTCCATTGTTGTTTAATATATTAGGGGAACTACTCAATTTATTGATCCGTAGGGTTGTTTCACAAGGTTTATTTTCTAGAATGGTTATTGGCAGGGAACAAGGGTTTATTAATTTATCCCATTTACAGTTTGCTGATGATTTGATCAGATTTTGTGGTGCTTCGAAAATGAAAATTTTGAATGTCAAGAGGGTGTTTCGAGTGTTTAAGTGATTTCTGGTTTACAGCTGAATTTGAAGAAGAGTAAATTGTTTGGTGTTAATGTGAATGATGAGGACCTACAGGAGTGGGCTACGACTATTGGATGTTCAGTTGACAGATTTCCTTCAGAATATCTAGGGCTTCCTCTTGGTGCAGGTATAAATTCTGCAGCTCCTTGGGATTCAACTATTAATAATTTTTTCAACAAACTAGCTGGGTGCATGGAAGGCAACCTCTTTTTCTTTAACAGGGAGATTAGTGTTGATTAAGGCGGTTCTATGTTTGCTTACAACATATTATTTGTCCATGTTTAAAATTCTAGCTTCGGTTCTTAAAACCCTAAACTCAATTATATCCAATTTCCTATGGGGAGGGGGAAACAACAATAAAAAGATTCACTGGGTTAGTTGGTCTAATGTATGCAAATCAAAGAATGAAGGGGTTTAGGAGTTCTGAATCTAAACTTGATGAATAGAGCGCTTTTAGGGAAATGGTCTTGGATGTTTGCCAATGATAGGGATTCAGTTGGAGGGAAGTTGTTTGTGCTAAATATAGATTGGATTCTTCAGTTTTACTGTTTGATAGTAAGATTCCTCCTAAAGTATCCTGGATTTGGAGATCAATGCTAAATAATCATTTCAAAGAAGACTATTTTGGCTCTAAGTTTAGAAGCATGTGCAGTTATCAAGTTGGTGATGGTAAAACTATTCGGTTCTGGTAATATATTTGGGCTATGTATCATCCTCTTTTGGTCATTTTCCCAAGACTATTTTCTATTTCCTCAAATAAGAATGACAAATTATTTGAATTTGGGGATTATAGCTCTTTCGGATGGATTTGGGCTGTGAAGTTTAGAAGGAATTTGAATGATTGGGAGCTTGAATAGTGGTCTAACTTGACGGTTGTCATTTCAAAATTTTCCCTACCTATGGAAATTTTTGATGGGTTGATTTGGAAAGGTACTGGGGATGGGGTGTATTTTGTAAGATCCGGTGTTAATCTTTGTTCATCGGATTCTTTGGGATCGGAGGAGGTCTATTTTTGGAAGAAGATTATTTAGAGGGGTATGCTACCTCCAAGACTGGAGACATTTCTGTAGCAGGTTTTTCTTGGGAAGATGGCTGTTAAGACAGAACTTGTTAAAAGAGGAGTTCAGGGAATTGAAGAAGTGTTATGTCATCTTTGCAAGATGGTGGATGAGTCTCCCTCTCATTTATTTTTCTCTTGTTTGGTGGTGTGGTCTCTTTGGAATAAATTTATGAACTTTTGGAGGATCAATTCTGTTTTTCATGCTGATGCTAAAAGCTTTCTTCTAGCTTGGGATGCTTTGAAGACTAACTCACTGATATGTCCTTTTATTCCAGGGGTCGTTCTTTGGACCACTTGGAAAATTAGGAATTTTGTTGTGTTTGAAGGGGGGAAGTTAGATATGGCAGAATATTTATTCTTAGCAAGGTTTAGGCTTGCTTCTTGGTTCTTAGCAAAGCATAAAGAGGTTTTTATTCCTAAGGACTCACTTATTTCAGACCCTTCCTTAGGGGACTCTTGTCTCTCCAAACTAATCGGATTGTATCTATATTTCATTGGTCTCCTCCTAAGGGCTTTGTTAAATTAAATGTTGATGCTGCTAGTACAAGGGATTGGAAGAAAAGCGAGTTAGGAGGAGTTTTAAAAGATTCCTCAGGATTGACCTTAGGCTATTTCAAGGAATCTGCTAGTCCGGGGCCTCCAACCTTGATGGAATTAAAAGCTATTCTAAAGGGGTTGTCGTTCTATGCATATTTTCGAGAGCGGATCAAGGACCATTTGATTATTGAGAGTGACAACAAGGTGGTAGTGGATTGGATCAAGGAGGTTGAATTATGTCTAGATGTGTATGCTTTTATAGTTAAAGATATTGTTCTTAGGCTTAAAGTCTTTGAAGGTGTTGTTAGATGGGTAAACAGGACAACCAACTTAGAGGCTGATGCCTTAGCTAAATAAGGAATAGACTGAGTTAGTGTTGTTGTTTATGGTTATTTAGGGTTGTTTTTTGGTTTTCTTTTATGTTAGGGGGTTTCTCTTGTTGTATCTTATGTAATTTCTTTTGATGAATAAAATCTTAAGGCACTCTTTTCCTCCTTCCGTTGATTAAGGAGCTTCCCTACAAGCTCCATTAATCAAGAAGGGGTTTTTTAACGAGGCCTGCAATTCTTATAAAAAAAAGGGAGTGTTGTTTTCCTTTGAGATCCTGGATTCGAGCATGTGCGTTTGCGGTGTGTATTATTATTAATGGTTAAGAAAGATTATGAAACATATACTAACTTGTAATCACCCCGTAATGTTTCAAAAAAAAAAACCTATAATGGTGCCTGCATTTAGTCTCTGAGTAAATGGACAATACCTATTTTCTTTCATTTGTTTGTCTTTGATTACAGTATGAAACTATGAATCTACTTTTCAACTTTTTTTTTCCAAATGAGTTGAATATTGATTTATTCTGTTCAACCGTAGGTCCTAACTTTTAACGAATTTCATGTGCAAGCAAAGCAAACCTCTCTAACCAACTTATTAGTTTTGAGATAATTATGTAAATATACCTTGAATTCCAAGTGTTTCTAACAATTTTTTCCCTCAAGACATTCATGTGGTTTTTAATTGAGCCCTTGTGGTTTGAGATAATAATTATGAAGCCACAGTTTTATCACATTCTGTGTTTAGCTAACCGTTACCATTGGATACTCGGTTTTCTTTTTGGTGGAAATGTAAATTTGTGTCAATTATCTGTAGGAAAGGGTCAGGTTTTTCTTTGAAGTTGCTATAGTGTTGAAGTAGTTTTTCTTACTAGTACATAAAAATACTACAAAGTATTCCATGTTTTTATACTTTACTATTGAGATCTATGCATGCTGCACAGCTTCAGTGACTTGGTTCTTTAGTTAATGTGCGTGATGCCTGTATAAGGTTCCGCATGTTTCCTTACTGTATGATATAAAAATATTCCCAAAGTTTGCTGCTTGTAAGAGCTAGAAATATGGTGAAGCACATGAACCAACTCTTGTAGTCTTTAGTTTATTCCTAAGAGGTTCATCGATGTTGTAGTTACTTTAATTTTATGATAATGTTGCTCCGTCACTTTTACGCATGGATGATTTAAATTTATAAACTGGGTTAATTCTAAATGTCAAATGTTTGATACTATCATGATTACAAGGACTTCAAAATACTCTCTAAATTTTTCTGTTTGTTTACTTTTTAAATTGGAATCTGTGTATCTCTTCTGTCACCAGACGAACACGAGCTGTATTTGATGTGGCACTTAAGGTTCACCGCAATATACAGCAGAGAGACATAGAAGTTGGTCGGAATCTTGGTAACTGGATCCTCCGCTTGCTTGACAAAATGAAACCTTCAGCTCAGATCCGTCCTCATAGCCACCAGAAATCCCACCATGATGCTGGGAATGCAAACATGAACATCCCAAAGCAGGTGAATAAGTCATCCTCGTTGAAAACTCCCATAAGCTTGCAGACACCACGAAATGGTGAAGCTGATAGACGTCTGTTTAGCTCGTCGACGTTTATGCTCTCAAAATCACTCCCTACGATTACAATGATGATGCAGCCACCAAAGGCTGCTGGAAACATGACTCAGTACAGGCAGTTGAGCATCAATGGACCTCACACACTGAGGTGGAACTACACTAGAGGTGAAGGAGTTATTAGAAAGGATATAATGCAATGGATGATACGCAACTGAAGGTGAAAACACTTTTCTGTTTTGCATTTAACTTTGGAAACTGTTTGGAAGGGGCTGTATTTGGTTCTATGTTTGGAGTTTGGATTCTTAAAGAGGCTTTTTCATGGGATAATAAATTTTCAAGGATGTAAATAAACCGAGCTTGAACAAGGTTGTGTTCATATTTGTTTGTTTATTTTTAAAAGTATTTTTGTTCGGTTAATTTGTTAAATATTTTGTACATATTCGTTTTTATATTTTTAAAGATGTTCGTGTTCGTTTTTTAGTGTTCACGAACATGTGCGTTTATATCTTCGTGAATATGTTTATTTGCAAATTAGAAAATGGTAAAATTATGTCGCTAGTGCTTAAACTCCTTAAGTTTCATAGTTTAAACTCTAATTTTCACTATGTTCAATTTAGTTTCTATATTTATTGATACTTAAAATGTAAAAAAAAAATTAAAAGTTTACAAACTAAACGAGTCATTAAATAAGTTTGTTCACAAATATAAATGAATGAGTTGATTAATGAAGTTACAAAGGAGATTATATACGAGTCTATAAATAAATTTGTTCGTGAACATAAATAAATTGAATCTATATCTTTCTGTGTTCGTTCATTTATTAAGTAAATATAAAAATTTTGTTTATATTCATTTATTTGGCTTAACAAATGAATATTATACGAACAATTTACAAATAGTTTACTGGACGTTTTATTTATTTTCACCCTTATCATAGTATGTTTTTTAATATAATTTTTTTGTTTCCCTCTAGTTCCAAGGCTTCGTCCTAATTAATCTGGACTGATCCGAGCATATCTAACTTTGACGGGTGTTTTCTAGTGGGGTTTTTTTGCCTGCACAATGATTTGAACCTAAAACCTTACTTAAAGGACATCAAGTTGTTTACCATTTACACTAACCTGTTGATTTTTAATATAATTTCCTGCATTTCATTGCGTGGATTATTTGATCGTTTACTACAAAACCTGTGAATCATATGGGATGCCACTGGCATGCCGCATGCGCAAAATTTCTTTGGGCAATCTTGTCCGAACGTTGAATTCTATATGATTTTTCACGACAACTCCATTTGGTGCTATGTTATTTCGGGATAATTTTATAACACACATCACAATATATCACTAAAGTTACACATTAAAACACATCACAAACTAAATTATTTTTATTAAATAAATATTAAAAGAAAATAAGGGACCACACACCTAATTCTCACATGAGCCTAGGAGAAAATCGCTTATACCATGATAGTTCCACATGCTAACTTATAGGGCAAGGGATGCTAACTTAGGGGAGGGTTGATCGAATAAAGAAATATATGATTTTAAAAATTAAATAATTTTAAAATATATTTTTAGAATTATTTAATATAAAGTTTATAAAAATATATAAATAATTATTTAATTATTTTTTTATTTTCAAAATGAAAGTGAATTTTTTTAATTTAATAATGATATAAGTAAGTATTAAGTTCAGTATAATAATAAAAAGATTCACACTATAGTTAAATTGCTAAGTTTTCGATTATTAATTTAAAGTGTCTAATATTTAAATATTATAAACATAAAAAATATTTATTTTGTGGTGATATTGTTATATAAGTTAAATACAAAATATGGTAAGATTAACTCAAATGAGTAGCTTAGTTCTATGATTAAGAGCCTTACATTTCATGCAAAAGGCCTGAGTTCAATTCATGTTGGGAGCAATAATTATTTCTTTCATTTTATTCTTATAGGTGGTGACACGTATTATTACCTAATTGGTTAAATACAATTAATTGAAAAATTAAAAAAAAAATAATAAATTGACATGTCATGCCACTTTATGTTAACGACAAGTATCAAATTGAAACTTAAACTAAACATTATTTATGAATTTGAAAAAAAATATTAGGCACTGAAACAAAATTAAAATGATAATTTAGGTACTAAACATATAATTTACCCTTTTAATATTAATTCAATAAGAACTATTTTAATTAGTAATATGTTTCAGTATGTCACATTAATGATATATTTTGGTTTGCGATTTTTGGGTCGCTTACATCGTAAAATTTTTAGTCGTAAAATTTTCCTGGGATTTCGCCACTTGTGAAATTGTTTGAAACAACTTCCAACCGTTACATATTTAGCAAATTACATTGAAAACTCAAAAGATAAGAGTACTGTATCTCTGTATTATAGTTGTTTTGGCTCGCTTATTACAGTGTGGGGTGCATTTTAATATAAAATGAGCATATAGTTATTGTACATATGAAAATTTTAGAAAGAATTAAAGTAAATTGATATTTTTGTAATCGTTGAAAAAAATGGTTATTTTATGAGATGAAGGTACTTAATGATATATAATTTGAGGTAAGTATAAGACATTATCTGTTTAAGATAACATTCAATGATTTGACATTTAACGTTTACACATCTGATATTATTGGTGCTCAAACTCGAGACCTCAAGGATTAACAATATTTTTTTCACTAACTATATCACTATGTTCGTGATAATGATGTAATGTAAATTTAAAATATAATGTACCATTTCCAGTGTATCTGTAGTAAATTATTGCTTTTAATTAGTGAGTGGTGTGTGAGATTGGATTGAATTTAAATGACACATTATGTTTTAAATTGATATCAAACATTTAATTAAATTTATTTCTGAAAATTAAGGATCTGTTTGGTTTTAGAAAATATATGTTATTTTCATTTTCATAGAAAATAAAAAATATTGAAGAAAATATGTTTGGTTGTAAAATTAGTTCCCTTAAGCAAGGTTAGGGGTTCGAATCCTAACGTTTGTTAATGGAGCAAACTGAATTTGGAGGGTCGGCCTCGCCTCTGCAGCACCCGATCGGGATTAGTCATCAATAAATAAGATATCAGTGATTAATTCAAAAAAAAAAAAAGAAAATGATTTCTGGAAAATAAAATAAAAATAAGTGAAAATATTAAAGCATAAAAAAGACGTTTTGAGTATTTTCATTAAAATTGTTTTGGAAATTCAAAAAGTAAGGAAATATTATATCTAGATTTTTAATTTAACTTACACATGTTTAAATTATTCTAACAATAATATTTTGATTTAATGGTATTTAAAACTCTCAAACTTTTGTAAAAAACTCAATATGGTCCCAATGTAATCCTTAAATCAATTTTTAATAATTTAATTTTGTAATATTTTTATATTTAATTTATTGAATATCTTAATAATTTTTTATATTTTTTATATTTGATTTAAATTAATTTTTAATTTTTAAAAATTAATAAGTACTCAAAAAAATTTAAAATAATCAATTAAGTCAATCTACCGCATCATCGTCCATCGAGTATTATCACAATAGTATCGTGAATTGTTACATAAATATTGTAGATTGTCACATCAATATTTTTTTCTAAGTTTAACGATCACATTTGGTGAACAAATTTTAGGGACTACACTAATTAGTTTTTCCTAAAAGTTTGAGGGTCTCAGTTACTCCTACACATATTTGTTTTAATGTTAATGGCACTTTGTGTGCTATTACTTATAACAATATTTTTGTGTATTTTTAAAAATTTAATTAATGTCTAATATCCGTTAACATTATATTTTTATTGTAAACTATAAAATTTGTGTTATACAATTTTTTTTATCAATTATATTGTTTTATATTTGTATAACTCATATGTTACATTTATGTAATGATTTTTAATAATTATAATCTAATTTAATTATTTAATAACTGTTTTATTTATTTCTATTTTAAAAAATTAGATACCAAATATATTTTAGTATTTTAGTTTGAATTTAATTTTTCATTTATATTAACCAAACATGTTTTCTAATTTTCAAAAAAGTAAAAAATGAAAACTATTTTCTAAAAGCAAAAATAGAAAATAAAAATTAAAAATTAACCAAACTAGTTAATTTTATGAGACTAAGGTACTTAATGTAATTTTTTTTATAATATGGGGTAAGTATAAGACAATATCTCTTTAAAGATAACTCTCAATGATTTAACATTGAACGTTCACACCTTTGACATTCTTGGTACTCAAACTCGGGACTTCAACGATTAACAATAAATTTTTCACTATTGAGATCGCTATGTTCGTGATAATGATGTAATGTAAATTTAAAATATAATGTACCATTTCTAGAGTATATGTAATTCCCCAAATATCGGATCAGGGACTTTATTGAAAAGATTTAAAAATTTGAGGATTTATTGGAATAAATGGTAAAAGATGAGAAAATGATTTGGAATAGTGTTTTGGACTAATTTGTATCAAAAGATGAATAAAGAGGGAATTTTGGTCCTTTAAAGGAAAATGAATTTAAAATTAATTTTGCTTTAGTTAGGTATTAAAGTAAGGGAAAAGGGAAATTAAGTTAGCAAAAAGCCATCTCTCTTTTCTTCTTTCCCGTGGAAAAAGCTCTCCCCTATAGCAAAGGTAAGATTTTATTTGGTTAGTTTCTTCTTTCGTTTTTGGTTGGTTTTTGAAGCATTGATTATTATAGAGGCTTAAGGAAGGATTAATAGGATCAAAACTAAGAGATGAATGAAATATGAAAGATTTAAGAAAATGGGTTTTAAAATGATATGTTAAGATATGAATGTTTATTAGTATATTTGACTTGTCAAAGAAGTAAATGAGATATTAGAAGCATTGGATGGGTTTAAAAACATGTTAGAAAAAGTAGTGTGATTTTTCGATTGAAAGGTTCTTGGGAGATTTTATATGTTTTAAGGAACTAAATAAAGGAAAGTTAGTAGGGATAAGTAAAGAAGAGTTTAATAGTAGTGTTGGGTGTAAACAAAAGGATTTTTGACCAAATTTAGGAAAGAATCGGGTTGAAAAATGGAAAATCTAGGTAAGGGTATCAGTACTGATAGAACAGTACCAATACTACAGGCATAAAATTGGAAGAATAAGTTGAGTAGTATCGATACTGATGTAAGTAGTATTGATACTGAAAGGGGTATCGATACTATGAGGAAGGCATCGATACCAAAAGGGGGTATCGATACTATGAGAAAGGTATCGATACCATTGATAACAAAATACAGAAATGGTATCGATATCGTAATAGAATATCGATACCATAGTATAGTAGTATCGATA